ATATTGTAGAGTTGCATCAATCAATGCAACCCCACAACATCCAGAGCCTTAAGGAACTCCAGGCGAATCTCATCCATCCCCGGTGCCTTGCCACCGAGGGGCTTTTTAACCACCTCAATGACCTCGGCATCAGAGATTGGAGAGTCCGACAAGCAGGGGTCTTTGCAGAATGTGTTGTCCTGTGGTCGGAGACGGCCCAAATCATCATTGGCGGAGGTCTTAATGTGGGTGGAGACGTCCCTGCTCGTGATTGGCAGAGGTCTTGATGTAGGCAAAGACATCCCTACTCATGATTGGTTGAGGTCTTGATGTGGGCGGAGATGGCCCAAAAGATATGATTGGTTGGATTGACGGTGGGGAATGAGGCTGGAGGTAGCGGGGAGTAGCTTGGTCGTGTCGAGCAGGAGGTAACAGTTTTTTTAAGATTAATTTTGGTCATAACTTGAGAAAGGAAAGTGCTAGCTGCACTAAATTTGAACATCATATTTGTGAAAAGATGAGTAACAATATGGCTTGGTTAAAACATCCCTAACCAGCCTGTAAAAAATATTAGATTAGAGAGACCTTTATTGTGAAGATGACAACAGAACCACGAGGTGAGATGCAAACACTGGAACAAAAAGTTGTGTCATTTTTACAGAGTAAAGACATCAATATTCAAAAAGAACAATATCAGTCTGTCACACACTGCCCAGCAGGGCAGAGGGACCAACAACTGCCATTAGATTCGCCAGCAGAAAGATGAAAGATGACCTCTTAACACAAGCAAGGAAATTAAAGGGAACAAAAGTATATATAAATGAACAAAAAAAAATTGTGTAGGTCTTCTGGACGGGTTCTTCTCTAATGAAACGTTTCGTCTCTTCTCCAAGAGACTTCTTCAGTCTGAGAGTTTCAGGCAAAATTCAGGCTTTTAAGCCCTGCCTCCATGTGACTGATACTCACATCACATGGCCATCGTTGACACCTAATTAACGCTTTTGTTAACAGTGGGTGAAGTGATACTGGCAATGGCCGCGCTGTAGGAGGGGGACAACTGAAAACGGAGGCCTCCACCTCTGTTTAATGATGGACAGAGGTGGAGGCCTCCGTTTAAGACTCCGTGAGTCTTAAAAAAGCACAAGGTACAATTGGGGATTTCACAATACTTTTTAAAAGAAAATAAGGAACTTTATGATCTAAGTGAAATAGCAAAAGAATTCAATCATTATTATGTGAATGTTGGTCCAAGTCTTGCAGCCCAAATACCAAAAGCTGATGATGAAGTGACTGAAACAAACAGTGGTTATGTAAACAGCATCTTTCTTGGTGAAACTGATGAAGAAGAGATAATGAGAACAGAAAAAAATGTTAGATAAGAGGTCAAAAGATTGGGTAAATATGTGATGTTTGTTAAGGAGATAATGTCCTATGTTGTTAAGCCTTTTACTTACATATGTAATGTATCATTTTCAACAAGTACATTTCCTAAAAAGATGAAAATAGCGAAGGTAATTCCAATTTTTAAAAATGGTGAGAAATGTATGTTTAGTAACTATAGACAAATATCCTTATTACCACAATTCTCAAAAATTTTACAAAAACTATTTGTGATCAGATTAGATCAAGTCATCATTAAAAATAACATCTTAAGCAGCAGTCAATACGGTTTTAGAGCCAATAACTCTACTTCAATGGCTTTCATGGAACTGATAGAACACATAACAAATGCTATTGACAAAAAACAATATTGCACCAGTATTTATGTAGATTTAAAGAAAGCATTTGACACGATTGACCATATCATTCTCCTTGGAAAACTGAATAAATATGGTATTAGAGGACCAGCATTACAATGGATATCTAGTTATTTGGAAAATAGAAAGCAGTTGTACAAGTACATGATATGAGATCTGAACTTTGTGAAATCAGATGTGGAGTTCCCCAGGGTTCTGTACTTGGACCAAAGTTGTTTATCCTGTATGTTAATGACTTGGTCAATGGGCCTCATGCAAGAACCGTTCGTACGCACAGATTTGTTCTTAAATTGTGCGTACGAGTGATTTAGGAGAATTTGTGACATTCACCAATGTTTTCGTATTCTAAGATTTTTTTCAGATACGAACAAAATTTACGAGTGGTCCAGACCTGTCGTATATTTTACGAGCAGTCTGCTGTTTTCCAGATGGGTTTTCCTCCCTAATAACTTTATAT